TCTACATCTTAATTTGTCTCCAGGAAGCGTAGACTTCTGCCGAAGGAAGCTATTTTCCTGGGTGTCAGTTGGCCCACTTCTTCTGGTGACAGTGTTGCCCCCTCGAGGAATTTGAGCCTCTTGCAGAATTGGGCTGGACATTCGCAGAGCAGGTGCTCTGCGGTTTCTATTGCGTCTGAGCAGAATCTGCAGAAATCGTCTTCTGCTCTGTCCATTAACCTTAAATGGTATTTTACTGGGCAGTGTCCTGTGAGCAGTCCCACCACCAATCTAATGTCTGGTCTGCTCATGCTTAGGAGCTGTTCAGCTCTTTTTGCTGAAAGGGTAATAAACCTTTTTGATTGTCTGAGTCCCGGTGTGTGCCTCCAATATGATGACAGTTGGTTTTTCTCCCATTTGTTGAGTTCTTCCATGATGTGGCTTTTCATTAAGCCACAGTAGGGCTCTGGTCCATGGTATGGTGTTGAGGCCCCTTCCTTTGCGAGGCCATCTGCCTCTTCGTTTCCTTCTATGCCTCGATGACCAGGCAGCCACATCAGCGTTACCTGGTTATGTGTCGCTAGTGTTTTTAGGATCTTTTTACACTCCCAGACTAGTTTTGACCTGCATTTGAAAGCCCTCAAGGCTTTTAAGGCAGCTTGGCTGTCCGATAGTATGATGACAAGAGCTTTAAAATAGTATTTAGTTAAAACCGCTAGCTCTTATGGTTTTCGAGAAAATCGAGTTTGAAATTGTTGATAAAATTTTGACTAAAAGTTTAATTTGAGAACCAATTGCCCAGAAAGTATTCGAGTTATCAGAACCAATTTAGCATGAATTTATAGAGAATTTAATGCTCTTTCCAACCATATATAATTTGTTTTAATTTGTTCAAATTTCTTTGAATAGATATTGGCCATTATTCCTAACCTTGTCAAGATTTGAAAAAATTTCTAGATCGAAAATTGAGATTTTTTAGCTTTTTGAAATCGCCATTTTGAAAGTGATGTTAGAATTTTTTTCGATTAATTTAAACCCGCTGAATCAATTGCAAAAGTTAAAATTTCGAAAATATGAAAAATTAAAGTTTCGAGTTTTCGATTGGTTTGACTGAAACCCCCCATAACCCATAAGCAACGCCACTGGCCAAACAAAATACATGTTGCCAACTTGAAAAATAACCGGCCAATAGCAACAAGAGCCTGGAATAAACAGAAATTGAAATATAATAAGGGAAACATATATAAACATATCAAAAGAACAAATACAAATTTATATAAAAATTAAAGGACCTCACACACCACTTATTGGTATTTGGTTTTCTGTCAAACAAACGAAATTTGTATGTTAATGAAGTAAAATTTTAATACATTACGAGGGATGTTTATAGTGTATGCCATTGTTAAAAATATTCAAAATTGACGAAATTTCAAAATCACCAGAAATTGCCATTTTCCAAAAAGTTTTTCACCAATCACCAGATTTTTCATAAAATCACCAGATTTTTCTGACATTCAATTTTTGTTTCTGACCATGGATTCTAAAAATTTAGCCAATACTGTACAACTTTTGTATTTACATCTTTCATCTACTTGTAAAGGTGAAGGCTGTAGGTGGGGCGTCAATATATAAAAAAACACCCTGTACCTGAACAATAACTTATTATATAAAGTCAGAATTTGTAAGATTATCCACTTTTTGTCAATTTGCCTTTCAACAGGAATTAGAATGTTACTTTACCAAACTAGTAACATAATGTGACAAGTTATTCGAGTACAAATGAGTGAATTGTTGCGGAACTTATGGGTGGACCTCTGCGGGACGAGCGCAGCGAGTTCCGCAGTTATCTATTTATTAATACGTTATTCAAGTACGATACTAACCTGACTCACGCAAATGTCAGTTATTTTCATTAGTTCAAAAACTACAAGTTTCAGGTGAGTGCCTTATTTAAATAGTTCAACAGTATATTGGTGAGTAGATGGCTGCGGAACTCGCTGCGCTCATCCCGTAAAGGTCCACCCATAAGTTCCGCAACGATCCGCTTATTTGTACTTGAACAATAACTTATTATATTAGTCAGAATTTGTAGGATTATCCACTTTTTGTCAATTGGGCCTTTTAACAGGAATTAGTAATGTTACTTTACCAAACTAGTAATATATTGTGACAAGTTATTCAAGTACAAACGAGTGGATTGTTGCGAAATTTATGGGTGGACCCAGCCATCTATTCACCAATATGCGTTGTTCAAGTACGATACTAACCTGACACTCAAATGTGAGTTATTCTCATTAGTTCAAAAAGTACACGTTTCAGGTGATTGTCTTACTTGAACAGTTCAACAGTATATTGGTAAGTAGATGGCTGCGGAACTCGCTGCGCTCGTCCCGCAGAGGTCCACCCATAAGTTTCGCAACAATCCACTTATTTGTACAGGGTGTTTTTTTTATATATTGACACCCCACCTACAGCCTTTACCTTCACAGGTAGAAGAAAGGTGTAAATACAAAAGTTGTACAGTACCATTGAATAAATATTTATTTATCAGGACAAAAAAAAAGACAATACATCAACTCAAACACTGATGATATACTGTTTGAGGTTAAAGTTCTTGGGACAAAGACAGAAGTGTGATTTTTTTATAGGTTTCCAGCTTTCTAAACATTCTTAAAACTTAAAATATGGTTTTGTTGTCTTTTTTTTTAAAATTGTATTTTAAAAAGGGGAGGGGCAGTTGCCCCCCTGCCCCCAGCCCCCCCCCCCCCACTGTATCCGCCACTGCTTCTTGGACTGTATCTCTTCCCTCATGTTTGCTAGCTTCAATAGTAGGTACCAAAAAAAAAAAAAAACTAAATAATTATTAATTTATTGCCAATTATCACATATCTTTAGTCTTTCCATATAATCAATGAGTTCCTATGGAATAATTTCATCTGAGTAGTATTTCCACTTAACAACTTCCTTATACAAATTCTTTCCTGGACTATCTGTCTTTTCCGTCTGATTGTGGCACACGATTCTTACCGAAGACTCATCCACAAACCCATCTAAAACACCCTTAACCAATAGCCAAGGTCCCGCTGCAACCATAAATTGACTTGGAATATCCACGGTGAAATTGCCCAAATATGCCACATCTATCGTATTATTCATTTGCTCGTTTTGCACTTGCCAACCCCTGCCGACGTAAATATTACCGTCGCCCCCTATCACGAAGTTATACCGGATATCAGGTAAGTCGTGTTTACCTACGTCACAGTTTTGGAGCTGCTGCATTGCACTGAAGCAACTGCTGACGTCAAAACAAGTACTTGTATTAGTATGTTTAATAATCACTAAATTAACTGGTACTTCTATGGGTATTTCATTTGTGGCAGCTCTTCCGCCCCATTGGGTCTTGTTGAAAATATAGTGGATAGGGTGAGGTGCAGGTGTCCGTGTAGTTCCTGCGGTGGTAGTGGTAGTTATAGTTTCATCTCGTTTTTTCGCAGTGAATTGTAGAGTAATTAGGACTATGGCGCACACCAAGGTGATGCTGGTTATAACGATAATGAGGAACTTGTAGTGACGTTTGAGTATTTCCAGTCCTCTTTTAGGATGGCTTGTAGGGCTAGGTTTGTCGGCTGGAGCTATAACAAGGGAAAACGGCGTTAAGAATATCTGATGGTAAAATATATCCAATTTTATTATAAATGAGATATTGATCGATTCAAATCAAGAAATATGAGAATAAGCTTGTAAATTTGAGAGAATTTGTCTTCTCGTGATAGTTTTTATTTTGATGATGAGTATGCTTTTCTACTCTCAAGGTCGTAGAAAACTGATCGTGGTAACGGACATCCTCAAGGATTTTTGGGGAAGCAAACTATCAACTAAATATAAAATATACTATGATTAATCAAATTACTCGTATATATTATGTTTTTACCTTCATTATAAGATCTGCTTCTTCGGAAAATCACATTAGTAGAAACCCCTCGTCGTCCGTTCGAATTGACACGAATCAATTTCATTTTTACATTTTGCACTGAGAACTAAACTCACTAACCGAATCTTAGCCTACTTTGTTATTCGTTTTTCTAAAATTAAAACTGTTTAATGAGTTCCTTTTGAACTATTTTATTTGCTTTACGTAAACAAGAAGTAATTTGATGATTGCCAGCTGCTACCTATGTATCAGAGTGATTCATTGTTAATTGATATTCCCGTTTTTACGGAATTAGTTTAGTATATTTGCACTGAAATGTGGCAACTATGGAACTATTATTTTAATTTGTTTAAGCTGATAGCGGGAACCTTTATAAATAAACAAATGTTTGATATTCTACAAAAATAATAATTGTCATTAGATGGATTAAGATAAGGGTCAGGATATTGAAACATTAGGTAAATTTTCTATAAACCAAAAGCATATAGCATTGAAAATATTAGACATTTTAGGCACGCAATTTCATTTGACCCTCTAGACGATACAACGCTATAAGAAAGAAAAGCTAAGCAACAAAATCTGTCTAAGTACATGAAAATAAAACTACTTTAAGAATACAATGGATAGAAGTAGGTAATGATTTTTAAGCACTTTTCATTTCAGCTTAGCACAAAATTACATAGCAAAAGAGATATATTTTCCAGATAGGAAGAATCATTACCACATCTCGATCCTATTATATTATAACCACTCCGTTATAAAACGGACTGACTTTATAGATCCTTTGTGCGATTTGAAAATTTTTGAAGCAAAATTCCTAATTTTGGCACGTACTTGAAATTCAACAAAATATTTCTTAATCCTTATCTAATCAATATTCTATTTTATGAAACTTAGAAAATTAGACGCAGAAAGACAAAGACAGAATCATCTCGACAAAGGCTATTTCTGTTAAGTGTTTATTTGTTTTATCCTAAGTATTTTTAGTAGTTCGATTATTTGAAGATTACATGAGGATGTGGTCAGTGATACATTTCGAATTCTTCCTATCTGTAAACATATTCAGCCTTTCCCCAGAAAAAAAGCTTACCATTAAATTTTGGTTCATTATAATCTTCTGCGTCAGGATCAGGTTTAGGGTGGTAATGATTGATGTTGATAGTAGTAGTTTCAGCATCTACGCCGATGTTTACTTTAGCTCCTACAGTATTATTATCCCCTATGACGGTGGTTACATTGCCTCCATTAGGTTTCGGAAGAGGTATTTTCTCCAAGATATTCGCAACTTGCTCGTCATCATACTGAAAATCCAATAGCTGTTTAGTTCTTTTGATGAAAAAATCAATGAATGCATGTTATAAATTGAAACTATAAGACAAAAGAGAAAGCCAATGAAGGCCATATTTCTCCTTAATCTCATTTTTGTGGACTACGAGAAGGTAGCATATATAGCACTGAGGCCATTGAGGAACACTTGGATGAGAGAAAAAACCGAAAAAACCAGATTGGAGTACAAATCATCACACCCAAGGGTATGCTGGCGACGTTGTCATAGTCGTGCAAGGGAGAGACACCAGAGATATATACACATAGAGATATTTTCTCTATCTCTATTGATGTACCCTCTCTATTGATTTCGAAAAGAGAGAAGAAGACAGCAAGTGCCATAGGGATTGGGATAAATATCTCTAACCGTTACAGTGTCCCAGCAAGGTGTAACAGGAGAAATTATGCAGAAAGCACTTAGAAGTATGCAAAGATGGCTAAAGGATATCAATCTCACAATAAGCGCAGAGAAAGAAGCGATTCTATCATTCACCAAAAAGCGATTAGCAGGAACCTGAAGATCTTTGGTGAATGTGGTGAATTTGTGAATTTGGTGCAGAATATGTGGAGAGGAAGCCGAAACATCTTCCCACTCTGTATGTATGAATGTGTGGACTTATCCCATAAAAGATACAGACTCTTCGTAGCAATATGGACCAAGGATAGACTACTACTCCTTGAAAATCTTGCCCAAGGCCTGATACAGGGAACTCAGGACTCTTATAGGGCAAGAAAAAAATTGGGGTGCACAATATAGCGCAGGGTCGATCCAGTCACACCTTGAACAAAATAGAGACAAGCTGAAATTTGGTATGTAAGCTTATGTTGGGTCCTTCAAATACCCCTAAAGAGCCCCTTAAATGGGTGAAAATAAGACTTTTTTTTAGTTTTTTGGCAATATCTAGAAAACAAAGCTATTTACGAGAAAATATCAGGGTAGAAAAATTGAAGAGCATAAAATATACTATAAAATCACGTTTAGCAGTTATATGTTGCTTCACCAGTGGCGGAGTCATGATATTTTTAATAACTGGGTATTTTGTAAAAATAGTCTCTGGCCATTACTTATTGGATTGTCATATTAAATACAGGGTTTTCCGAAAGTATTGTACCAAAAACTAAGGGATAATAGATCCCTTCAAAATAAATGTTCTTTAATTATAAACCCATAGGCGCATGCGCTGTGGCTAGGTGATAATAGCACATTACAGTCCGCGCTGTGGTAGCCACCTTTCACACGACGAAACGTGTTTGAACTAGTTTGAAGCAGAAACTGTGTTATTCAATAATACAAAACCCAAGAAAGGCTTGAAGTATTTATCAAAAACAATAATTCACATCAAAATTACGACCACCTGCCTCAATGCTTGCGTGGCAGCGCCCCAGCAAAAATATCGAGTAGATTTCTGCAGAAAACCCTTTCCCTTGATCTGTCTGGACTGGAATTCTGGAATCACTAGAAACCTTTTCCTCTATTAAACAGGCGTGGTATCACATCCGGCAAAGGCGTGTATGGCAAGAATTTCCCAATTTACTCTGCACCCTATAGATTGTTAGATATATTTAATATAAAAATCCATTAAGTCATGGCAAGAGAGTATTTTTACAAAATATCCAGTTATGTCCTATATAACCCAAACGTGATTTTATAGAAAATTTTATGCTCTTTAATTTTTCTACCTTCATATTTTTTCGTAAATAGCTTCGTCTTTGCGATATTGCCAAAAAACTAAAAGTAGTCCGATTTTCACCCCTTTTAGGGGTTGTTTAGGGGTGACAGGCACGGTCGATTAGCGGTGGGCGTTGGTGATTTATTAAGGACCCCAATACAAACTTATATACCAAATTTCAGCTTGTCTCTAATTTGGTCATGGTTTCCTATACAGGGTGAATCTGAAAGCTTTTTTTTAATATGGTACCTATATATCTCGCCAAAAAAAGTTGTTTGGCAAAAACATGTTTACATAAAAAATTTAAGATAACGGAGATACAGGTATTTAAAGATATTAAAATTAAAAGGTTGAAAATTCTATTGATTTTTCTGATGAAATAATGCAACTGTAGATTACCTATTATGGAATAAAACTCATTATGCTGGACAAATAACGGATTTTTTTCGAGAAAATGTAAACAAAATGTTTTATAGTTGGATGCCTATTCTCGAAACTGGAGAACAGAGTTTTTATGAGAATGATGGATCTCGTCTTTGTCCGTGTTATGCAAATATGAGTATGGGCGACGAAGATAGGACCTTTGTTCATATAAGTACGCTCCTCCCATGTTTTGAGGGTAAGGATTCTGGAGTCTTCCTAAGACCTTGAAATACCTGTAACTCCGTTGTCTCAAATTTTTTATGCAAACAATTTTTTGCCAACAATTTATTTTGGTGAGATATACAGGGTAGCCCAACAAGCGCGCCTAGGTCAATAGTAACTAAGCCGTTGAACTTAGGGAAAAATGTTCTATATAAAAGCTTTAGAATTTCCTCTCTGCTATAATCCAAAATTATTTTCAAGTATACAGGGTGTCTCAAAAAAGAGTAATAACAAATGTTTTTTTTTATTAGAATACCATATGTTTTTATATGGCAAATGAAGCCTCTATGTGCTTTGTATTCAACTTTAAAATCGTATTTGGGTTGAATGCAGCGTTGCCAAGCTATGATTTTTCAAGGAAAAAAATAGAGCAAAACTCACTTCTTTAAAATTGTCGTATCTCCGCCACTGTATATTAATTTGCGTCGAAAATTTACATGTAATTTAATGTTGGCCTGCTCCTACATTATCTTCATTTTTCGATTTAAGTATACAAGGTTTCCAAAATATTTGTCTAAACACGTCAATTTTAAAGTTCATTTTAATTGAGTTTTTCAAATACAACACCCCGTATATTATTTTTCTATCGAAAATCTGAAAATGTCCTCTTTCAGTAAATATCATATTTGCCGTATCTATCTCATTATTATTTTGAGATATTAAGATTTTCCCTTAACTTTGCACATAAAAATTTGACGTGTTTAGAGTTTAGACAAATATTTTGGACGGACACCCTGTATACTTAAATCGAAAAATGAAGATAATGTAGGAGCAAATACGCTAACATTAGATTACATGTAAATTTTTGAGGGAAATTAATGTACAGTGGCGGAGATACGACAATTTTAAAAAAGTGAGTTTTGGTCTATTTTTTTCTTCGAAAAATCATAACTTGGCAACGCTGCATTCAACCAAAATACGATTTTAAATTTGAATACAGAGCACATAGAGGCTTCATTTGCCACATAAAAACATACGGTGTTCCATTCAAAAAAAAATATAAAATTTGTTATTACTCTTTTTTGAGACACCCTGTGTATACTTGAAAATAATTTTGGGTTATAGTAGAGATGAAATTCTAAAACTTTTATACAAAAAATTTTTCCATAAATTCAACGGTTTGGCTACTATTGACCGAGGCGCGCTTGTTGGACTACCCTGTATATTCCGTTAAAAAAAACTCACTTTCAGATTCACCCTGTATAAAGCATCAGATCGACCCTGGGCTAATAAGCCAACAGGCAGTGCATGGAAGGCCACAGCACCTAGACCCCCCCTACGAACAACCAACCAACGAATCATCAAAACTAACCTATCGAAAATGAAATTTCGCAAAAGACATTACAATGCACAAAGAGCCCAGATGGAACTCAGAACTAATACATTGAAGATCGTGAGATAATGAATCTCCTGGTAGGTCAATACTAGCTTCATCTTTCAATTATTGAACTTCTATGGAAATACTCCATCTATTTCTTCAGAAACTTCTTTTTTTTTGTTTTGTGGTTGTTTATTGAATAAAATATAAAAATCAAGATGAAAGGCTTTGAATCAAAAGTCGACCATCAAACATCAACATCCCAACCAAAGAGAGAAGATTACCCTAGACGTAAATACCCTTACAACATTGTAATAAACGAGATTATGTTTTACCCTTTGAATATAAAACAACAGGAAGGACCATAACCTCGAATCTGCGCGACCAGAATATGTGGAGGTTGCATATGGCCGACTAGTGTTTCCGGTTTGGCAGTGGCGTATATTTATTTAAATATGATTGTCAATATTATGACGCACTGGTGCCAGTGCTCATTATCACTGAAAACCGCTAAAATCCATTAAACATCCACTTGAATGAGGACACAGCAAACCACCAAAACAAATGATGAGTCATACTTGGAGGCTCAATATTGCGGTTTCCGTCCCTTTGTTGTCTGTAGTCAAGAATCGTAAACTCTACAGGATTGCTCAATCGGCTAAATTTGTTCACAATTGCTGTGACGTCACGCGCATGCCGGATTTTCAAGATGGCCGCTGATACGAATGATGTTTAGTTTGTGCTGACAACTATTTTATCGTAAATTCGGATTTATCTAGTGTTATAAGTGTAAATTTAAAGTTTCATTTAATGTGTGTAAGCATAAAAGACTCGTGGCTGAAAATACTCGCGAAAACCCCAAGCATTTTCTGGTTTTATAATACTGGATTTGTTGTATCAGGACATCGCTCTTTTATTTGTGTGTATTGCTAGTTAGTATTTCCCTAGTCAAGCATTTGTTTTGCTTTTTTTTTATAAATCAAATATCTACTTAGTGTAAGTAAAAATTAGGGTTTGTGAAGAGTGAATAAATAAATATGTAAATAAATTCCTTTACTGGCGCGTTTACTATGAAAACGCATGGAAAATATGGGAAACTTGCAATGTTTTTCTGGAATATGATTATGAGAATCTAAATTAGGTATCACTATTTGGCTTTGTGAAATAAGCTCACTTTGAATGTCCATATTAAATCGTTCTAGTACCTATTAAATTAATGAATAATAATTGAGAAGTACCTAGGTAGGGTCAGTAAAAAATAAAGCACACTATTGCAACTCCGTTTCGCTTATATTTTGATATTGAAATGCAAAAATTAATCCGGCTCGGCACCCCACATTTGGTTTTCTACTGTTTCTCAACTGTAGTCAATTGTGCCCGTTTTGTGCTCAATTGTGCCAGTATTTATGCGAATTGTGCTCATTTTCATACACAAAAAAAACATTGAAACGAATCCGGGGGCCAGCTTGACTCCAGCCCTTCGTTTTTTTGACTTTTTGGCAATATGTTTAGCTAATTGATAAACAAAAGCAAACAAACTCGTCTTTCTAATTAGCAATTAGCCAACCACTCAAGCCTCAAGGACACTTTTAAAATCAATAAAATAATTACAAAATACAGTTTTCAAAGGAAATAACCTCAAAATAACAATTTTTCACGTTTGAAAATGCAAGGATAGTGCACTGTCATAAAAAACACAAACCGATCAAGAACTGCGTGACGTCATTCGCATACCGCCATCTTCGATGTTTTTATGAACGTTTGTCTTATGGGATTGAGCAATCCTGTAGAGTTTACGATTCTTGGTCTGTAGTGACAGATAGAAAACACTCCTTCCTGTAGTTTTATATTCAAAGGTACAACAATAAACAAGTGGTATGAGCTTAACAGTATAAGTATGGTATGCTAAGTACCTATGCAGTAATCTTGCCAGAAACAGATAACGATTTATAAAGACAGACACCTACTTATAGTTTATCAAATTAGCAAACAATACATGTCAATTTTCGCTGATAAAACAAAATGTATGACCTTCTCCAAGGAACCGATGTAAGCTAAATCAATTGGAAAAATTATGAGCTTCGTTACTCTAGGAACAGACGGTGAGAGAAAACAGCGAAAGAAAAGCAACATGGCAAGGTGAGGAATATAATTAGACGTAAAGAGCTCATGTAAATCGAATGAGCAACAATAGAGTAGGTAGTACACATGGCTAAAAACAAAATCACTCTAAAAAGTGAATTCTCTAAGGAGAATTACCAATATTGAACAATATTCGAAATAAACAAACAAAGGAAAAGAAGATAAATTTAGATCTGCTTGGATTCAAAAAAATCAGATCAACAATACTTATGCAGAGTTCCTGTTTCCATCATCAGGATATTCAGTTTCAGAAAATCTGAACCAAACTTTCCAACCATAATTATATGTTTTGCATATAAGGATGATCTCACGTAATGACGTCTGCAATTAAATGTGATTGAAATAAATATATTATAATTTCAGCGAAATTACGCTTGCAGTTTTCGAGAAACAAATTCGAAAAGTTCACCGTTACAGGTTCATACGAGCGGTCTTTTAGCAAACTGAAGTTGATTGAAAAAGAAGTTTGAACGTGGTTCTTGGATGCTTGAAAAGATACGGTCCAATGGAGAAAAGTCGAAAATTTAGATCCAACATCTAAACATCATATCCACAGCTATTTCGGAATCACTTATGTTGTCCCCATGGACTGATGTTAGACGAAAATTCATCAAAAAATGCTCTCTAGCAAATTCAAATACTTACTGTTGTTGTATATGGTTGAATATTTCATCAAAATAAATTTTAAAACAATTTGGCAACATTATCCTCTGTATTTTCCAATAGTTATAGCCATTACCTACATACGTTCATTAGTAAACATATTTTAAATTAATGCAAACAAATTATTTCAAAATACAAACCAGTTTTTTAATCATTTCAATACGTACGAATTTTTACCTAAGCAGAATGAAAAGTATTTTTCTAATGAAAACCTTAGATTTCATCAAGATAAAAGTGATATTTTCCCAATAATAATATTGCATTAACTTTTGTTGGCTGAATATAATATTTAAATATTTAAATTGTGGCAAACAAAGTAAGATTAATTACCTACACCTACCGCAAATTTTCGTATTAATCATAAAATAATTGTATATTCAGAAAACATTTTAACAAAGGATAATTAGCAGTTGCGCATCAGTTTGGCACGACTGCCATTTTGGTTGAGTAAAAAATACTCACCTTAAAATCTATTTCAGTACTAGTCCCTAATGGTACGCTGTAGGACTCAGTAGCAGATGACTGACTGCTACAGCTGGGACTTCTATCATCTAGAACTAAATCGGAACAAGATTTCAAAGGCATTTGAATCTTATCATTATTATCCACTGGACCTTTCTGAGTCACCGTTTCAGCACTGATCGTCGTTGTTTGCGTCACTTTAAACGATTTTTTGGTACGACGCCGGCCATCACTGCGGATCTAGAACCACTCGAGTTTTAACGCGCACGCTGGAGTCGAAAGCGTTATCAAAATTCGTTGAAATTATTTATCAGAAATGTCGGACACTTTAAGTTAGCAACAGATAACCGGAAAGTTTGTTATTGCTAAAGCTTTGCGAGGAATAACTTTTGGTTCTTGGGGTAGGGATAAAAACCTCGCCTTGCAAACTGATGAGTACCATAATATATTATGACTGTTACCGAGGTCGTTCAATTATTACTTGCATATATAATATAATGTGGTCAGATAATTCCTGTTATACACTACTGGGAACTATAAATATTTATTTCTGTGAATATCGCGCTTATTATCTATGGGATAAGATTAAATGAATCAACTTTGGCATGAAATGCGTTTATTAAACATGTCAGATTATCACTTTATTTACTATACTATCTAAAACAAATTAAATATTAATTAATTAAATGTGTCCAAGGTTGTTAGTAAGTATACGCACGCAAGCAAAACAAAATTTCTACTTTTTTGAAACTGTATATTTATCATTCTGTCTACCTTTATATTTTAATAATTTTTCAGAATTTAAATCAAACTATTAAAAAATTCTAAGAATGTCCAGTATAAATTGTACTCAAGGTCCATTGCACACATTCAAATATAAACAAATTATTTGCGCTTGTGACCGGTAAATGTATCCTACAATCAATCTATCTCTTTCTCTCAACAAAAAAATAAGGATAAAGATTGGACAGTTGAGCCCAACGCACAACCTAACCTCACTTTACTTTTCTCATTGGATTTTGTATTTTATTTCATTATTTCAAATTTAAAGCTATAAGGCAAAACTAAACTAGTTAACCAGCTTAGCATTAGCAAAATAAAACTAGCTACTTAACTACAGGATATCACATGGATACTTCTATTGTAAGTTAAATTCAAATTCAATTAAATCTTCAAGGTAAACTTTACTGGTAACTGTCTACAAGATAAATTTATCAATCTCTAATTCTATTGGTCGGCGGATAAGGGGCCTACCAATAGGATTATGGATTTGTGTTTATGGACAGTTTATCAGAAGGTGGATAAACTAGGCCTTATTTGAGAAAAACTTTCTGTTCAGTTTGGGTTTGTACCTACAAATTACACAACTTTGTATTTGTTTCTTCAGGAGGCTTCGAAATGCTTGAATTAAATATTAAACAAAATGAGATAACAGTAATGAAATACAAAGTATCTTAGATATATTAATTTTTTTTTAGAAAGAGGAAATGCAAAAACTTGGTGTTGATGAGAAATCTGCGGTGGTAGCTTGCCAAGTATTTTTGGAGTTGTGCGAAGGTAAATATAATAATATCTAAGTACCTATGTGTTAATAATAAATATCATGAAATTAAAACTTAATAAGTAAGTACTACCTACATATTTGCTCAGTGGTAATTTTATTTAGTAAAGAGATACTGGGAACCAAAATACGAATACAACTCAACAATACACAAAATTATCATAAAAGCCAAAAAGAAACCAAATGAAGAGTTCAGTATCTTTGTGCCAATTCCCAGCTACGAACAACTTAATTTTGATAAACTCCAAACAATTTTCGGCAATTGTATTGATAAGTAAGTATTATAGCTTTATAACTGTATAATAATACTTAAGACTAATATTTTTTGAAGCATCTTTTTAGCAATCCTCCATCCAGATTCCACTTGTGTCTATTATCAAATATCCAAAGGTCTTCAGGAACCAACAGAAACTGACGCAAAACATCTCAGAGTGAATAAACAAGAGAAACTGGACGCTGACTTGAGAAAGCACAGAGACTTGATTCATCAGTCTGCTTTGTTTGGAATTCCTATCACTTTACCAAAAATTGTGCCCGAAGACAAATCTAAACAATCTGCAGATGATGTTGGAGAAGAAAATAATCAATCATCAATTAGTTAAAGTTAAATAATCCACTCCGCTTCAAAAGGCAATAAAATAAAACTTTTCAAGTCATATAAATACATTATTGGTTTTATTATACTTGTACCGTCGTCACATTGTCAGAAATGATTTTTCTCTGTTAGAGTAGGATAAGACCTCATCGCAGCGGGAAAACTATCAATGTTGATAGCGAATTTGAGACAAAAAAGAGAATACAAGATAATCAATGGTTAAGCTTGAAAAAGTGGAAAGAAAACCACAATATCATATACAAACATCAAACCTACAACCATCAGGAAGTGAAATAAAGAGGGCAAAAGATGTTATACTTGTAGAAATATAATAATGATGATGGAGGTAAACCACAATCGAAGTCCTGAATAACTGCAAGGCAATTTATGTAACCCCTTTTGTTATTGAATTAACTATGGGTCCATATTATGCTCAGTTACCTATATTTTTACCTGTAGAATCAGCCAAAGAATACACTAAACGAGAAATACGCTTCTTGACTATACACAAGATGTATATAGGGGCTAGCTTTGAGGTAAACTTTTTGGAAGCATCAGAAAGAACTTTGTTGCACTGCCAGACCTTATCATCTACGTTAAAAACAGCGTCTCGTCTTCTCAAATTATAGGTATGAGTATTTCTTTGATAAGGGGTATGTAGTTTTTTTCCTAACTTTAGTAAATATGTCCGATAAATTTCTGATATATTTAGCATAATTATCCTGGAGAAATTTCGATGTCCTCATAGAAGACATAACATCACCATAATAACGTCCAGAAAGGGGTATATGACGAGCAAAGTTAAGAAAAGCAGGAGTGTATTCGATAATTTCATGCTTCGCAGTGTTCAAAGCATGTTGAAGTTTTGATAGTTCTTTGTCTCAATCCTTGTGATGATGATCTTTTATGTAACAACAAATTGCAGTTCCAATTGTTCGATTTGAACGCTCAACGAAATTAACTTGAGGAGAATAAAAGGAAGTATACCATACTTTTTGAACTTGATACATATTTGCTAAGTCTTTAAAAGTATTATTAGCCACAAGGTTCGAACCATTATCACAGATGATATTGTGGAACTCCAAATTTAAGAAACACCTCGTTTTCCAGAAAGAGTAGCAACTCGCAAGGGATGTACAAGACAATATTTGGTGAGCCAATTACGAACGACGAGGAGGTAACAATTGTTTTTGGGTGATCTCGGAAATGGACCCATTAAATCTACTGCAATGATTTGCCAAGGAAACTCAATGGATTTTTCATTACCCATTAATCCTAATGGAGGAAGATTAGATATACACAGACATGACAAGTTCTTACAAAAGATAGGATATGCTTGCGCATTCTAGGCCAATAGAAATTTTCCTGAATTCGAGATAAAGTTTTGAAAAAACCCAAATAAGCGGCGGTAGGAGGATTGTGACAATCTTGGATAGTCTGTTTCTGAAGATATTTAGGGACTACTATTTCCCACTCTCTAGTGTTGGATTTGACAGGGACAGAAGACAAAATTAATTTGTAAATAATACCATTTTGAACTTTAAAGTGGAGAAAATGCTCGGGAGATTGAAGAATTTTTTCTCTCAAGGAGATATATCAATGGTCAAGATTTTCCGGAACTATATCGATAAGAGAAACTTCCAGAAGACACTCTGGGATACGAGATAAGGCATCAGGCACAATATTGTTTCTACCTTTACGGCGAACCAAATGAAAAGTATGAGTCCTCAGCTTCATAGCCCAACGTGCAAGTTTTCCTGTGGGATTTCTAAGATTATTAAGCCATAACAATGCTTGACAATCAGTGACAATCGTAAACTTAACACCTTCAATGTAACCTCTAAAACGATCGATATTAAATAAGAGAGCCAGACATTCCTTCTGAGTTGCACTCAGGTTTCGTTCCGCTTTAGTGAAAGACCTACTAGCATATGCGATTACTTTTTCGACACCACCATTAATTTGGGTGAGGACACCTCCCAATCCAACATCGCTGGCATCACTCTGGATAGTAAAGGGTAAGGAAAAGTCAGGTTGACTCAAGACAGGTGCGGAAACAAGAGCCTGTTTGACTTGAAGAAAAGCCTTCTCGGCATCAGGAGTCCATTGTATAGGTTGATTCTTCTTTTTACCTTTTAAGAGATCGTGAATGGGAGCCATTAAGGAAGAATAGTCTTTCAAAAATCTTCGATACCAACCACATAGGCCGGAAAATCTTTTTATTTGAGTGGTATTGGTTGGACGTGGATAATCAATCATAGCAGAAAATTTTTCAGGGCCTATTCTCAAACCATCTGATCCTACAATATAACCGAGAAACTTGAGAGATGTTTTGAAGAACTCACATTTATCGACATTGATTATTAAATTAGCATCTTTTAAGATGTCTTTAACTTCAGAAAGTAATTTAACATGTTCTTCAAACGTGGAAGAAATTATTACAAACCATGCACAAGTCTCTGTTGAACTTGAGCGCCATTGCATAAACCAAAAAGAACTGCAGTAAATTGAAATAACCCACGACCCATGATAGAAAAAGCAGTTTTTTCTCGGTCAGTCTTCATCAAGCGGAATTTGCCAAAAAGCCTTACGAAGATCTACTGAAGATATGTAATTGGCACCACGTAACATGCGGGGAATTCGCTCTATATTAGGTAAAGCATAGCTGTCATGTTTCGTTTGCTCATTCAAAAATCGACCAGCAAAACAAAATCTCATTTTCCCATTGGATTTCTTTACAAGAAGTATGGGAGAAGAATATGGACTTTTGAATAATGATTTAAAATTTTCAACATGTATGGTGACATGGGATATTGCTTTCTTTTAAAAGGTTTGACATCACCGGTATCAATTTTCATGGAAATTTTATTTGTTCTGCCAATCTGAGTGTCGCTAGATATTTCGCGAAAAGAATGCAAAACTGACTGAGCAAAAGTACGCTGGTTATCTGACAAATCATCCAAGATAAAAAGTGAGGTAACATCATAATTATAATTTTGGAAATCAAAGGTAGAAGTATTTTGGGAAAACCAGGTATTTTTACTGAAGTCAACAATTAATTAAAATTGCCTGGCGAAATCGCTGCCAAAAATAAAACTGTGTATACCAAGGATGGTACCACTAAAGCTTTTAAGACCTGACAAGAATCATCACCAGATAATTGGCCGATAAGGTAGGTAATATACAATGGCCTTGTCGTATACCACCAGAATTTAGTTTTTTGGATTACAGGTAGAACACGTTTTCACGGTTACATCTGCTAAACCACAACGAAAACAGAATTTCTTTCTCCGGCGACGACAATCAAAGTAAAAATGGCCAGTGCCATCACAATTCCAACATTTGCGTTCAGGATCGTTGCGGGAGTTAAACTGAGAATTGTTCTGAGCGGTAGTTTGAGAATTATTTCTGGAAGATTGTGCGTTACGGGAAAAACTAGGACTTTGAGAACTACTCGAGACCGCAGAATTCTGAGAGTTATTTCTGGTGAAATGACTTTCTCCAACTTTTCAACTAGGATAATGAGTTCATTAATGGAATTTATTTCTTGAAGAACCAAAGCAGAGAAGTATTCAGGGAATAAGTTTTGTTGAATATACTTAATCTTAGTTGGTTCGACAGGTGGACGTGATAGACGAGAAAAGAGACTCTCCATTTTAGATGCGAAAATAGAAATGGTTTCAAATTTTCTCTGCTTTCTGGCTTTAATTTGTTCCCATATTTCATCGTCACAATTTGGAGGAAAGAAATCCAATTTAATTCGATGGGTCAATTCGTCCCAGGTACTGACTGAAGTTTTGACATTTATAAACCACATTAGGCCATCACCAGAAAATAATAAAGTGGCAGACTTGAAAAGTTGTTCATCAGTAACCTCATATGCAGCAGCAAGCTCGGAAACTCTCTCAAGAAAGTCATACACTCTTCTGGAATCTCCAGTAAATTTTAAGTTCCATTCGGGAATGAAATTTTTGTTATTAGAACAAGATAAGATAGCGGGAAACACAGAAACATTTGCTTGAGGAGCCTAGGTAGAGTTAGCGAGAGCAGGTGGAGCTTGTGCGCCCTGAAATTGGTCCACTTTTTCATGAGTATCAGCATCAAGAGTAAGACAACGGACATATGCCTCATGTTTATATTTCTCAACTTCGTCTTTAGTGTCATCCTCAGGGACGATAAGTCTTTCGATACGTGCCATTACATGTGCAAGACTGAGGAAAAGTGTATCAGAAGGATTGCCTTCAAAGTCAGCAACCAGATGCTAGGCAATTGTGGTATCAATTTCTATAGAATCGGTAGGAAATTCAAAGGTAAATTTAAAGACACCAACGTTTGTATTACCACCCTGAGCTTCTTTATCTAAAAGGCGCTTTAAAGGTGAGTAGTTAATTAATTAAAATTTTAGTATACCTAAATTCGAGTGTTGAGTTATACGAAAAGAGAAGATAAAATTTTACCAAACTGTATAATATTTAATGATGTTATTAATCGGCCATTTGAGTTGGGTGCTAATTTCATCATCATCAGACCTAAAACACTTCTTATTATGTGTAAATGCCGCAGTATCTTATACCTACCGTTCCCAAGTAATTTTTCCATCTTACAACGTTATCCCACCTATTTCATATTCTATAAGTACTAAGTCAGTGGTCGCCTGTGTCCTCGAACGTTGAAACAATTGGACCACGTTAATGTGACCGACATTAAAGCAACAACTACGATAGTACTGCAAAACTGTGGCGAATCGATTAGCTGAGGCTATGCAAGAGCATGTTTAACACTTGAAAAAATTCAACAGCAATGGAAAAATATCGATAGTGACTACACTATTCAAAAAGGGTGATCGACATAGACCAGAAAACTATAGGCCTATAAGTCTAACATGCAATTCACTAAAATGCATGGAAAAGATAATTGTTAAAGAACTGACAGCGTTTTTCTTTGAAAAAATCTCTTACCACCCTCACAACACAGATTTCTCTCTAAACGTTCTTCAAGATTGGACAGACAACCATGATAATTCTCGAATTACAGATGTGATCTGT